CCCGCAAACCCAGAGCTAAGAAAGATCCTGCACCTGGTGGACAGCCCCCAAAACGTAGGCAATACACCCCCAGAATGGGGCCCAGTGGGCTCCCACGCACTCACCTCTGTAGTGTCTGCGGTAAGGGATTTGCACGTCGCGAGACCCTGCGCAGGCATGACCGCATCCATACTGGAGAGAAGCCCCACCACTGCACTGTGTGTGGAAAGTATTTTAGAGAAGCTTTTCACCTCAGCAAGCATCAAACAGTCCACTCTGGGGCAAAGAATTACAAATGCAGCATCTGTGGGAAAGAGTTTGGTTACTCCCAGAGCCTCAGGAGGCACAGCAAACTCCACCAGAAAGGGGAGCTGGAAGAGGTGCCCACAACACCAGCTGCGGAGAACCTTAACAGCTTTAACCCAAACCCTCAATGTAGCGTGGCCCAAGACAGGAGCCAGAACCAAGCACCAAGCACCTCCTCCTATTACTACTCTCAAGACGTCAAGCCTCAAGACACCAACCCCCAGCCTCAACCTCCACCCCCGCCCCAACCACAGCCCCCGCCTCCACCTCGACTCTACACCTGTGCTATATGTTGGAAGTCTTTCCGCCATCACTTCCACCTGACTGCCCATCACCAGACGGTTCACGAAGGTGGGGGTGAAAAGCTCTTCTGCTGTGAGGTATGTGGCAAAGCATTTGCTTACTCTAACAGCCTCACTCGACATAGGCAGTCGCAGCATGGGATGACCCGCAGTGAACCGTCTAACCCGCAAGAAGGCAGCAGTGGGTCTGGAGACAACAGAGGTGGAAGTGATGTTAATCAGTCAACATCAGAGAGCGAGGCTGCCACCAATGCCCTGCTACAGATGGCTCCTTCCACAGAAGGCCATGGAGGGCAGAGTCTTAGTGTTGTCACTCATAGCCACCAACAAGCACCCCCGCAACCACCAGCTGGTTACTCTCCCCTCTTTTACGATGCAGCCCATTCTGCAGCCTCTAATGCTCCATCTTACTCGCAGCCTCTGCCTCCAAACTCAACAATCATGGCCCCCCAGCACCCCCATTCCCCAGCCGGGGTGAAAGGAGAGCACATATATCCAGCTGGATCCCGTAGCCGTACGCTTCACACCACAGCCCCGTTCCAGCCCCTCACGGAACTGCCCTCCACTGAACATCATCATCTGCATCATCATCACCATCACTCCCACCATCATCCTCATCATCAGTCAGGTACCCAGTCCCACCAACACCTTGACTGCAGCATCCAGTTGTCACACGATGACATGAGACGACACAAGAAGAAAAAAAAAAAGTCCAACAGGAGAGATTGGAGGGAAAATAAATGGGAATCCCAAGATTTAGTCAGATTCGATGGAAGCAAAAGGAAGAAAAAGATAAGTTGTACAATAAGAGGGCAGTTGAATAAAAAACAAGGCTCTCTTCGTTTGACAATTAGGCGAGGAGAAGGATCAGGTGGTGGAGGGTATAAGCTTGTCAACACTGGGGGAATGAAGGTGCAGATCCTGTCGTCTCTTAAAGTCCCTGTGAAGCGTTTTGGCTGTCCTATATGCCCCAATTCTGTGTTTTCCCGTAAAGCGGGACTGCTAGTCCACATGGCAGTAAAACACCCACAGAAAGCCTCGACCACTCAGGAGCGACTAAGGTGCAGTGTATGTGGGAAGCAGTCTCACAGGCCTTTGGCAGCCTTCATCCATCGGGCTTCCCATCGTGCCAGAGGGACTTTCTCCTGCCGACGCTGCTCCACTCGCTTCTGGAATGCAACACTTCTCCACAGGCACAAGGTGTCCTGCCGCCGCAGGGCTAAAGGACTGCAGCGTGGAGATGCTAACAGGCTGAAGCTTTCAAAGAGACCAGGAGAAGGACAGACCCAAGAGGGTCAGGGGGAGATGCCATACCTACAGGGACCATACAGATACTGAGCATCCTGGTATCTAAAAAAGAGTGGCATACAAGAGGGATATTTCAGTTCTAAAATGGGAAGGTGAGAAAAAAGGGACTTGAAAAGGCACGCTGCCTTTTAGGAGAATTTGCCTCATGTCTCATGTTGACATCTACTCTGCTGACTATTAGAATGAGTGTGTTAACAACTACTGTAGAGCATCCTATAAAATATCACCAGAAATTCTTCCAGATTATATTGGAAGGTGTTTTCAAAGACGTGACTGTTTCCATAGGTTCATTAACCCCTTAAGTGCATTGACACTGCTTGGCTGACACTGTGCAGTTACTAGACAAGTTTAGGTGAAATGACCTGCTAATGTATCTCTCTTCCCCATAACTAGAATCCCTGCTACACCTCTTGCTGTATGATAAACGTCTCTGCCGTGTACTTTGTCTTGTTGTTGTTCACTTAGAGGCTCTGAGGATTTTTTTAAAATGTAAAGTGCATTTATTAGGAGTAGGGACATGGGGACAAAGACCTTTGTTGATAGTTTGTCAGTGCATGTTTGTTCTCTGGTCAAGTTTTTTGCTGAGGTTGTGAAATCACTCCTACAGTATGTGATGGTTTATTCAGTATATCCCCAGAAGTTTGTAGTGTTTAACTTGATTTGAAAGTTGCTCAATATTCCCTAGTGATTTAATCACATAGATAAAATGTCAAAGTTGCTGGTAATTAGCATTACAAGGATCCCTCTCCTGCCAAAATGAAGAAACTTACAAAAAGCCTTGCTTAGTATGTTCACTTTACTTCATTTATTTCAGATATTCCTAGCTTTTATACCAAGAGATTGAAAACAGGTTAAACAAGTGGACTGTAACACATGTTTATCTCATGTTATTTGTATGCTCTTTTTAGCAGTGATTATTTCTACAGTACTTCACGGTGTGTTAAAGACAAGGACCTATCATAATAGAAACAAATGTAATATTCCATGTATTTATGTGTGTAACCCAATCAGTCTTCATGCCAATCTTATACTTAACCCCTTCTACCTTTTACTTTTTGCTGAGTTGCAATCATATTCTTACTGTCAAGCCTTGTTTTTTTTTTCTTCTAAAGAAAAATAAGTTTTAAGTAAATCTTGTCACTTTATTCACATATGAAATGTTCATACCCCTGTCAAGCCTTGTTTTTTTCTTCTAAAGAAAAATGATAGTTTTAGTAGATTTCTATCACATTATTTACTGAGAAGTCAGTAGTTGATTATATTTCAGCAATGAATAAACCATAAGTGTAATCATTTGTTTTCCTTTCATTTCTCATTCAAAATTACCTACTGCAATATCCAAAAGATGGTACAAAGTGCTAGTCAATGAACACGAGTAAGTTGTAACTGTAACCAAAGTCAGTATTGAAGTTTTACAATTATATTTAGCTTCATGTCCTGTGTGAACTACGTATCACTCTGTGGATTAAATGGATTTCAGGATGTAGTTGATATACCAATAAATTTCATCAACGTTCATAGGTTTACCAATGTTATTGGCCAGATTACTCCAGGGTGATGAATTGTTTTCAATAGTTTAAAAATTTACAGTATATTATCACCATACTTGAAATAAACGGCTGTGTAAAACTTCTCACTTTTAACTCCACAAGATGGCAGTAAGCAACTCATTTTACTCCACTCTTGGCCTGGTGTGGATGAGTGTGGCAGTCACATGGATTTTGCACTGATAGGGGGTGGACTGGAGAGGCTGAGTGTTGTGTGACTGAATTATGTGCCTGTCTGCTGTTTACTACAAGATTAATGCCACAAAGTAAACAAAATGCTTGAGCACCACTCGGTAATCTCACTGACTGTTTACACATTAATGTGGTGTAAGAGTAAAATTCAAATGCATGTGATTTTACATTTGTGTGAAGTATAAATTCACTGCATTAAGAAATAATATTATTTGTTACTGTGATTGCAAATCAATGATTTCACGGTAGAAAGAGTAGCTACACTGAAGTTGACCCCAACCACACAGTGTCCTTACAAGTGAAGGAGTTTCTATAGTAGAGTTTACAGTCATAAGTTTGTGCATTTGCATTTATATGATTATAAAAATCAACCTCTTGCTTGCAAATGTCTTGATTGCAAACAAAATATGACTATTCACACCCACTGCTGTTTACTGTGGAGTGACAGGTGGTAACCATCTTAGGGCCCCACAGCTGGACAAAATGTCCAGTCAGTATTTTGAAAGAAAAACAAGGGACAGTGTTAACTGAAGGTGCACTGAACCTCCTCCTTGCAGTTGACAGCACTATTACATTAAATACTATTCACACTTATTGCTTTATATCATATTTACTGTTATTATGTATTAAAGCTTTGAGCTGTATGACGACTCAAGTCTGTCAACTGTTCAAATGTAAACTTTTTTCATATCCAACTCTTTCTAAACGCCACAAAGGGGTGAATTCCTGCAGCGCGCGATGTTTTTCATGCACCGTACAGTAGACCAGACTGTCCTCGCGCTTTTTGTGTTTCGAACTGGTCTCACGCGGCAGTGGCATGCACGAGGGGAATCCGAGCGGGCGGGTTTATTCGACCTAATTCTGACCAATGGGAGCTCGTCGTGGGCGGAGCTACGAGCCTCCGCGGCCAATCGGAGCGAGAGCCGCGAGCGGACAGGCTTCGTCTCCGCGTGCCTGATACACGTGAGCTGGAACAGCTATTGTACGCCGGGAGGCAACGTGCTGAAGAGCTGCTCTCCTCCTCCTTCTCCTCTCGCCTGAAAAAACGGCACACTCACGTTTTCAGTGGATTACAAGGCAACTGGAAAAGCCATGCTGCACATCCTGATTATTAAAAGGCAGATAAAAACATCTCTAATAGGGATGGATACAAGTTCTGAGTCAGTGAGTCTGCGCAGAACTAAACGGGTTATTTATAATGGGTCTGTTAAAAGTATAATGATAACATTAAATGTGATCACACTGGAGGTTTGAGCGTGCACATGTTCAGTGTAAAGTCACACAGTTGTTGGTACCTGTCAGACAAAACAACACCGCCTGTTCAACCTCGGGAGTGTGGCACGAGGGTAGGTGTGTCTCATAAATAATGAGCGAGGGGCTCAGAGGTCTGCTGGAAGCCGAGGCCCCGCCCTCCTCGCGCCTCGCTCGCCTTGATCCGCGAGGTGTGACGTCACGTGAACTGCTCGTGTCCGTTCCAGCTGAGAGAGAGAGAGAGAGCACGGTCGGACGTGGACGTCGCACGGCCCAAACACAGACCGAAGCCCGTGAGCCCGTGACTGGATCCACCGGATGCAAAAAAAAGTACAGACAGAAAGAGGAAACGACCCCCTCCTCCCCCCGCGACGGACAGCAGAGCGCGACAGCAGAGGAGAGAAACACCAATACAACTTGTCATCTGACCAACACAGCCACTGCCCTCGTCGCTGAGTGTGTTGAGTGTGTGTTTTTTACTGTTCACACTGTTTCGGTTGTTTTGTTTTTGACGGGCTGTTTTTT